CTGAGCAAGTTCTCTAGTACAGCGGGGAAGCCCCAAACCTCGAATCGCCGTTCGGCTGTTTCGGCAAGGAACGTTATCGAGCAAGACGTTTAAGGTGCCTTGTGGGTAAATGATAACCGAGTAAAATGTAACGATAGAGTGAAACGTACCAAGCTCCTCGGTCCCTGCTCCTTTGCACTGTACTTAAATTTCTTCTCTGTGCAAGTACCAGCAAGTCAGAGGCCAGTGCACGTAAAGAAAACGTGATTTTAGCTGAAGGCCTAAAATACTGCGTCTTCATTTGCTTAAAAGGTTAAAGAGAGCGTCTATACTGATTTAAAAAAAACAAAAGGTAGGTTTCTGGGAGCCTGCTGCATACACAAAATTAGGGTTTTTAATTTAGTAATTCTTATCAGTATTTTCTGGGTGAGGGAGTGGAAATACTTATTGATTGATCATAGTCCCATCACAGAGCGAACAAGAAAGAAAACTAAATAAAAAGCAAATTCTTTAGGTGTTCAGTGCATTTCAGTGGTAACTCTCCATTTGTAAACTGGAACTAGCTGAGCCCGGGCTCAACTATGATAATACAGGCAGAACCTCGGGTAGCGTCAAATGACAAGATTGGTTTGGTGATAATAAATAAGAGGAATGCCCTAACAAGCTCCCTGGAAGCAGAAAAAGTCTTTAAACTGTAGAACCAATCTTATATGTTTATCTAAGGTATATGACTTTAATAGTGCTGGGAAATTATTTAATTTAAAACAGGCACAATTTATTTAAAACCAGGTTTGAATACTTCTTTTCCAGCGTGTTTATGCTGCTTGTGAAGTCCCCTTATCTTTTCCATGACAAGGAAACACGTTTTCAATGAACTGTTCTTTCCCCACAACTGCTCTCTGTTCTGAAAATGCTGTTAATATACTGAATAAAGAAATTCAGTTTCTACAAAGTTGGGAGGAAGGTACAGATACAGAACAATGCAGCTTCTCATTTTCCTAGCATTTAGCAGTTTCCTAGTTAAAGTCATTGCCCTTTTAACCACAAGTTGTCCTTAAAATGTGTTAAGCTTAGTAATGCTTGAGTTTTATCGCTTCTTGCTTCACTTGTGTGAACATATATTTGTGTAACACAGTTATCTGTGCAGTCTCTGTATTTATTCACACTACATAGTAGTAATGTAATTTATTCTGAAAACCTCTGGTCAGAACTTTATTTTTTAAATAGAATGATCAGCGGGTGAGGACTGTTTTGCTGTCATGTTATTTATCCCATTGACAGGTACTTAAATTTGGAGGGAGGGCAAGATGCAAACAACTGAAAGTTTAAGTGGAGACCAAACACATGAAATGTCAGTCCCAAAAATACTAAACAAAGGTAAAAGAAGGAACCGAGCCAGAAATTGCTTTGAGACCTGGTAGGATTTAATGAGCATACCTGAAAAAATCCACTGCCTCCAGTTCTTAGTGATTTCTTTGGTTGGTCTTGTGCTAAACACTCAAAAAAGGGGAAACAGAGGTATAATTAAAAATACATAGCTATAGAGACAATATTTTTACATTTTTTTCATTTTTTTTCAACTAGTCAGCTAGACTAGACTAATATCTGCTGTCATGTTTTTATATCTTCCCATTAGGGTGGATATAAATAAAAATGGAGGAAAAAACAGCAAAACTGTACAAGATGCTTGAAGTTATGGCACAGAGTAAATGCAACATGGTGAGGTTTTTCAAAGGGAAACCATAGGACACCACATCCTAGGCACCTAAATTAAAAAAAAAAAAAAAAAATCTTCTCTGAGCACTTAAAAGTTACTGAAAGTCATTGAAACCTCTTTGCTTATTGAAGAGTCTTGTACTTACCTGAACTCAGAGCTGCTGTCAGTCTAAAGTTTCACCTAAGAAAACCAGATTGCTTCAGCAAGTGCTGCCTCTTCTAAATTGTGGTGGTCTTAGTCTGTCCTCTCCTAAACTCACAAGCCCCTAAGAGCAGGGGATTTCCAGTTCTGGGAGTTATTTTGCAGCAGCAACTTACAGGATCATAGCTAGTGAATTACCTTTAGTGAAAGACTATTAGACAGTAGAGAAGATCAGCTTCATATTCTCTTTTGTGTTTACTGCTACTGCAAATTACAGAGAAGCATGTTCTTTGGCAAATTACATATCGAACATGCCAAGCATTTTTCTTTTGCTTCTTTTGGGGAAGTGGGAAGTAATATTGATCTTAAAATATCTAAAGCACATTAGCATTTGTCGTTTGGTGGCATCTACTGAACTTAGTCAGGGACCAGCACTATAAAACACTCGCTAGCGTAGACCTTGTTCACAAGCAAGCCAGAACCCAAATCTCAAACAGTGCAGTCCTTTGCTTGTTAGCTCTTTTATTAATGCTGCTTCCAGGCAGATGCAACATGAGTTCCTTAGTGCATTAGTTGTAGAAACAACAGACCAAAAGTATAGGGAGGGTCCTTTTGTATAGGATATTGTATAGTGTGCCAATTAAAAATCTTGAGATACCTCTGTTGTGACCTCACCAAATTACAATGGAAAACTGCTTGCTTGGAGAGAGGAAGACTGTTAACCGCCAGTGCAAAACTCCTGAAGGTAAAAGCAATGAGGAAGGAAGGAAAGAATGTTTGACCTTGGATTTGAAAGTGGATATCTGAAATGTTGCGCTGCTGCTTCTCAGAGGCCTCTTTCAGTTTCTTGTCATAGCTGCTTTACCATTCGCTTCTCAAGTTCACTGAAATGAACAGTGTTGTCTCATGCTGGTGTGGCTTTTTATCCTTGTATATGTAATTAAAATGGTATAGACATTCACGTCAAAATAGCATGTGGTCAGGATTGCAAGGTTTATGTAAGAATCTAGGTGCTAGGCTTCTTTCCATAAACATGACGCAGTCCTGTGTGGGCTGTCTGACACTTGGCCTACATGTTAAGAGGGACTTTAATGTAACAAGCTGCCATGCAGAAAGTTGACAGTTTTGTGGATCATCTTTTATGGTACCGAGGGAAAGAAGGGTGAAGCCATGATAACAGAGTCTTCAGAATCAATTTGAACTGTGAATTTGTCTTTTTCAGAGTGGCTTGCTAACCTACCTGTAGCTTTGGCTTTTAATTTATTTAAAGTGTGCTATGTCACTAAAAGGACTGTCACCTCTCAACCTTTATCAGCTAATAGACATATTAAAGTGGTGTGTGGAGTCCTTTGTGTTTAGTTTGTGTAGCAGTGAGAACACCCTTAAGAGACCCAAGCAAACAACAGAAAACAGTTAGGATAGAACTGCTTATTAGTTCTGAAGAGAATCTCCAGAATCAATGCAATTGCTGAATTCTGAGTTACCAGCTGTGAAAATAAAGTCTTGTGAATTGCCTTACATCTGCTTCAGAAAGGTATGAATGGCTTCAGAAACAATGGCTCTGGATGGAGGACGCAGAGCAGCTTACAGATGCAGGAAGGTATAACTGCATTAATTTGGGTGAAGCTTTTCTCCCATCCCTGCCCACCTGGTCCAAAGATCTGTGACTTTTTTTACTTTGTGACAGTATCATGTCTCTCACACCCTAGATGCATGGTTGTGTTGTTGACTTTTCAATCTAAAAGTATGAGCTTCTGGCAGTCTTTTGGCAGTAAGTCAGTTTATGATTACTGTACACATTGGTGTACTTGAGGGCTTTTTGGAGACTCCCAGACTAGAAGTATGTAAAGAAATCATTGGCTAGTGAGGACAAAACTCTCTTACAGCAGTTAGCATGATACAAATATTAAATAATATGCATGATAAATAATATACTTCTTATTCCTCTTTATTTCTAGTTTCCTTTCTCAGATGTTACAGCTATGATGTTCCTGTTTCATTTGGATGAACCCAACAGGTTGAGTCTCCCATAGACACAAATACTGTTCCGATTTTGATGTCGTATCAGGGAGTTTCAAGATGTATTGAGATGCCATTTATGGTGTAGTCGCCAGTCTCTTTTAATTACATTTCATTGTGATGTGACATTTCCTTTTTGTGTGTCAATCTTAGCCCGTTTGTTCTGTCTGTGAGTTCAGAGTAGCTTTGTAGAGATCCAGCTCTTTGCCAATGGTCAGGTTAGATACTTCAATTTGGAATTTTTTTTCAGTGACCAAATATTTTCCTTTGTTCTAAAGTACGTTCCAAGTCAGTCCTTCAGATAAGGCCAGAAAGTGCATTTGGATTCTTATTGATAGGGTGTTCTGAAACAGTAATGATAGAAAAAGACAGGCACTGCTGTCTAGGAGACTCAGTATTTTGTGTAACTAAAAACCTTTAAGTATCTCAGTGTTGTTATTATTTAGGGCTTAAAGCTTGTTGGGGGAACTAAGAAAAGAGCAACAGAGATTAGTCCATTGCAGTGACTCTTAGTAAATTTTGTCAGTTGTTATGTGTAGGGGCTGCTGGAAGTGCAGGTATGGAAACACTACTGAAAGTTCTTGCAGTGCCTTTAGCATTTATACCATTGTGGTGCATTCCCAGATCAAGGCAATAAGTGTGGCTTTCATGTCAAAGGCTATAGAAAGCTCACAGAACATAAAACTAGTCCCACAAAGTATTTTCACTACATAGTGTACTTCCAGAAAAATTTGATTATTAAGAAAAGGCCACTGAGTTCTAACTGGAAAAGTATTAGCACGAATATGTGCTCTATTATTACAACTAAAACCGAGCTATACAGCATAATGTAATTTCTTAGAGCTACAGCCTACCTAACATCCTTAGCCTGCTCTGTTGCATTTCCTTTCTTGTACATCTTAATCTCAAAAAACAGGCTGTAGAACAAAATTTTGCAGTGTTCTGATCCTAAATCACTCAAAAGAGGAACTTAATCACAGTGTCTTGTCTTACGAAGTCCTTGTGCAGCTATTTGTGCTCCAGTTCATCATGCTTCTTTGTTTCTCATTTTAAAATATTTTTAAACTCTCTTCCATTTCTGTGTGGGTGTTTAGATTTAATGTATTCTCCAGAAATTTAGAGAAATGCTCTCTTTTATTGCACTATGGTACTTAAATTACACTTGACTATTGTCACAGCATGTTTTGCTGGAAAAGTGGATCCACCTTCAATATATATAGATCTTATGCAAGGTGCTGATGAATTTCTTAAAAAGTCCAGTAAGTCTTTCTCTCACCAGTATGTCTAGAAGATTTATAATGAAGTAGCAAGGCAGCTAAGTCTGCAGAGGACAGTTGAATCTCTTGCCTATACTTAAAAGAAGTTTCTCAGCTTGGGAAAAAGCAGTTTTCTGTGGCTTGACTTGCCTGATCTCAGGACTTTTTCTTTCTCTGCGTATTGTAGAAACTGTTTGGAGATCCCTGAGCAAACAGAGCTCTGAAAAATAAAGACAGAAAGATTGGTGAAGGTTTTGCTAGTGCTTATCTTATGATGTGTACAATTTCTACCAAAAGTTTCTAAAAAAACTTGGAACAAATAAGATGAGGAAAACTTCAATAAGCTAAAAATCTGAAATAAGCAATTAAAATTTGAATTATAAAACATACTGAATAGTTCTTCATATACAGAATGTTAAGATACTGGCATGCCCAGTTTGCTAGTACACAGTGCTGGTTTACCTTGGGTGAGCAGAACCCCTGTAATTTCAGGCTTCCTCATTTCAGTGCACCTTTTATTTGTTTTGGAGTTATTCTCTTCCATTGAGTCATCCAAATGAAATTCCAGGAGTCAAATTTTTGCCTTGCCTACAGTAGAAATTTGATCTGGGTCTTCTTTCTTCTTAAGACTTACCCGCCGAGTCTTGTTTGCCCTCAGAGCCTTGCTGACTGAGCAACCCCATTCCCTACCCTAAGCCGAAGTCGTTTGAGAGTAGCTGATGCTGCACCATACTGAAGTGGTGTGAAGAATCTAAGTTCCACCTGTCTTTAGTTTCAGAATGGCTGCGGTTATTGCCTTTCCTGGGTGTGCTGGCCTTGCTCGGTTACCTCGCTGTTCGTCCGTTCCTCCCCAAGAAGAAACAGCAAAAGGATAGTTTGATTAACCTCAAGATCCAGAAGGAAAATCCAAAAGTAGTGAATGAAATAAACATTGAGGATCTGTGCCTCACTAAAGCTTACTGCAGGTGTTGGCGTTCTAAGACGGTAAGACACTTTGCGCTACTGTAGGATTAAAGATTGAAACTTGCATGTTTTTATCAGCGCTTTGGTGGTGAATTGCTACATGTTGACTTGTTGCTTTTCTCTGGAGGTGGAACATGTTCCTGGTTTTTGAGAATGGCACAGTTCTTATTTTTCTGTGCTGTAGACCTATCTATATGCAGAAAGAAACTGTAGAAACTTGTAAGAAACATGATAGGATTTTAAGTGACCACCTGGGAATAGATTAAAACCAAGCAAGCCTTGTTTAATATTTGGAAATACATTGCAACTAATTAGAAGATAACTACTCTATTTTGCAAAAACAATGCTTGGAATTCACATTAGAATGAAAGTAAGGCTGGACCTGTTCTGGTGAGTGAGAGCATATCTCTGTCTGGTCCAGAGCAGCCCGTAGAGGACTGGTTTAGATTCTGTACCTCAAATCAACTAGATTTACATGAGTATTCTTCATCTACCTTCAATTTCTTTTGAATGTCCTGACTGCACTCTGGTTTTGTCTTCTCTGGAGCGAATGCTTTCCTGTTTTAACAAAAAATCTGCCCTGAAGCTAATAAAACCTCTCAACTATTCTCCCTTTGGACTAATCACTTCAGAAAAGCATTTCAGCTTTCCTGAAAACAGTACTTTCTGGGTGCAAATGATGAAATCTATTAAGAGCACTTTTACTAGTTCCGCAATAAACCTTAAACCATTTGTGGCTGCGATGGCTGCTTTGCTTGCTGTTCTTTCATGGAAGAGGTGTTGTCCCTAACTTTGTCTCTAAGAACAGCTATTTTAAGCCCTCACAAACTTGGTTACCTGTTAGCAGTAGTTTCTTTCCTTAGTAATATATGTCCTGTGTCTGATAGGAGGCAGGGAGTTTGATGTTGAAACAGCACATAGTAGGAGGAACTGGGAACATTATCAAAGTGCTCTTGGCATAGGAAGAAGTATAAAAATCACCATGCAATTGCTGTACAGAGTTATACTAATTCCTCATGTATTTTTTCTTCCAGTTCCCTGTCTGTGATGGATCCCACAACAGGCACAATGAATTAACAGGAGATAACGTAGGTCCACTAATACTCAAGAAGAAAGAAGTATAGCAGATGCTTAATGCGCTAGATCGTGACTGATAAGGAGTCTTTTTATATTGTAATAGTTGCAAGGGACAGCATTTTATTATGTGATTGGTATGATTTAGTCTAATGATTGCTGTGGATTTCTTTTTGGAGTAAACTGCATTTAGACAGTGCTAGATCTGTTACTGTTTTGATACTTTATTCTCAGAAGAATTATGTCTGCTTTGTAAAACTGTAAAGTAACTATCTCTGTAAATAAGTCGTTTATTTCAACACTAAAATGACTTCCTGCAATTAAGCCTTTTTTGTATGAACATGCAGTTATAAAACTGTCACTATTTCTAAGTGACAGATGCGCACCTTTCTGTTGATTTTGTTCTGTTGAGACGCCGTGTTTTATTCAGCTTTTCAGGAACAAATCTAAGTGCACTTAAGTGGGGGGAAAAAAGATACTAACATCGTCCTTTGTGGATATACCTAAGCATGCCACTGAGGGCAGGCAGCATAGTGATGTTAAGTTACGCTAAGTGAAAGTCTGGCCTGTGTGGTGCCCAAGTGGACAGTTTGTTAGTCTCATGCAAAGCAGCCTGGCTCAGACAACCCCCCCACAGCCGGAAAGTCTCATACAGCATCGTAGGTAGAGTGCTTCAGTTCCAGACCATATAAACTAAACTATTGAGCAAGTCAGCCACTGACATTTTATTTTATTTCGGGCCCCTATGTTGATTGTTCATGAGCTCTTGTAAGGAAATGCAAATTTGCTTCTTGCAAGTTCGCTTGCACTGTAGCTGGTACTTTTTTTAGTGGGAACTTCATGGGAAGAATTGGTTAAATGACAGAACCAAGAAAGCAGAGCCGAGCTGTATTCTTGGCTTGTTACCCATTCAGAATGATTATTTGGGCAAGTCAGAACTTTACTGTGGTATGGCTTAATTTCAGATGCAGGTAAATAATTGCTACTTATCTAACTGCTAGACTTGTAATTAGTTTTTCTAAAGTATGTTATTCTCCAAAGACAGACTGTATCTATCAGTTTAAAAATAAAAATTTGATCCATGTTACAATTTTAGACAATTGTACTAAGTCAGATTTCAGCTGTTCCTTAACAGCATTTCATTTGACCCATTGTTAGGAAGCCCCAGAGCTGTGTGCTGTTGCCAAAGCTGATCTCCACAATGCTGAAACAGAAGGCAAGTCAGAAAGCAGTTCTCGCTTAATGGCGCTCTCAGCAGCAGTAGATCATTCCTCCTGTATTTGTAACAGTTGTAGTTCTAGGCACCTAAACCCTTTGCCTTGCAGTGAAAGACAGCAGATTAGAATGGGATTGTATGTCAAATGCCTGCTTTTACAAAGTGTGAAACAGAACCATGGTACAGTCTTTAAATGCCTCATGGTGGTCTTACCTTAATGGATGAGTAAACATTATATTAGGATATAACATTTATAATAGAGGAAAATCCATGTTGTTAGTAAGTGTCTTATACTCAGTGTTCACTTACAGATGCAGTACATTGAACACCAAGCCTCAGTTGTTGGGTTTGGTGAAGAAATTACTATGTGAAATGCAAAAGTCTGTCTTTAGATTTTATTTTTTTTTTAGGCTTTAAAATCCACAGCCTATTGTAGCAGGCTGTTATTATATACAAGTCTGGACGTGCTTCCAGCTTATATCAGGATACTTTTGCATTCAAATAGTTTGATTTCCTTCAAAGTCTGAAAAGTAAACTATGTATGTCTGTCCTGTTCTCGCTTATGTTGCTCTACTCAGACAAACCCTGTTAGAATAAATAATACCGAAAAATTGGTTTTGTTTCTCCCACAAAACTCTTAAACGGAGAATGGCCGTGTAAGGTTCAACCTCTTGACTCCATCTGTATCACAGCTTGATTATGTTATTAGTTTTTTTCTCCCTGCTTGCTGTGAGATGAGATTGCTGCTAAACTATCTACAAATGTGGCTACAGAACAAACAGTGGTGTTTTTTTGTTTGTTTTTTCTTATGTCTATAGGGAATGGACCACATTTGTAGTATGGGCCTGTACTCTGTCACAGTTCCTTTGCAGAATAGACATTTTAGTAATTTCCACAAGATAGTAATAAAATGAAGATCACAAGCAAGATAAATGACCATTTCCTTGCATTTCAAAATCTGTCAAGGTAATACTGTGTCTCATGGCCACAGAAATTTCTATAGAAAATCTCAAGGAATTTACTAATTGGTTCAAATTATCTTCGTAAAGTCTATGGGGATAGATAGCTAAGAACTGAAGTGTCTTCAGAGCCCTGTATCTCACTAGAGACTGAGAGTTGAACCAATTACCTGCTAGGATGTGCTCAGTCATGTCTTATCACTGGATGACTTTTCTAACCTAATTTGGAAGCTCCACACAAACAGAAACATTTGCCCCTAATGCTAATAAAGACGAGGACTGAAGCAGTAGACCAGGTCTACACAGTGTTGATGCAAAATCAGGGGAAGCTGAACTTGGCATGTCATGACATGCCTTTTTACTCTACAAGAACAGTAATGTTTACCTTTCTTTTGATTAGGAATTTGAACAATAGTTGTAATAGACTAAAAATAAACTTGTAAAACAAGTAGGTTTAGATGAAGGTGTCTGACTTATGGCAACTATTAGACAAAGTAAACGTAACTGAAGTGCAGCTGGCACAAAATTCTGTCTCTTGCAGTGTTTATTTAAAAAGCAAAATGCAAAAACTGTATCATTCATTGTTTTGTGGCTGTATTACACCATGAGTGTTTTATAGTTAATTTTAGACTTCAGTCTAAATTCCAAAAATGCTCAGTTTGGCTGAAAAAGAGAGAGGAAGCAGGGGTTATAATTAAACTATCAGTGCATCCCCTGGCCTCTGTGACTCCCTGCTTCCAAATGGCCAATTTCTGTCTTTTCCCATATGCTGCCTGCTGTAACTTTGCCTGCTGCTCACCACCAGGAATGCACTGTGATGTCAGACCCTTCTGCTGCAGAGGTTCTTGGAAACCTTCTAGAACTGCACACACATACTGTGCTCAGTATTCTCCTTCATTATGCCTGTGATTATGTCTGTGTGACAGTGGGATTCCTCTGGTTATAGTTTACTGCACATTGTGCTCTAATTTTATTTCCTGCAAGTAAGAGACTGGCATGGCATAAAGATCTTATTGGCTTGAATTTATGCTTTATTAATGAATGATTTCATGGCATTTTGTTAAAAGGAAGGTGGTCTTAAATGTCATGACTTCACCTGCACAAACTCTCATAAAAAGTAAAATCGTGTCTCTCAAATTTAACTGCTATTTAAAATCATCTGAAATTGCCATGATACTTCTTAAAAAATCCAGTCTTATAGGTCCTTACACCCAATATAACATTTCTTTTCATGACAAGCATTTGTTTCTTTATGGAAGGCAAGGAGAGGAACATTATAAAGCATAAATGCTTTTCATTTTAGATTCGCAGGTCTATGTTATTACATAATACATTATTGCTTCAACCTGATTATTTTTGAAGATGTAATAAAAGCTGGTCGAAAGGAGTCTAGTGAGAAACATACACATATGGTTGATAAGGAAAGGAAAATTGGACAAGATGACACTTTTCATTGGTATAGCTATTCAAGCACTCAGTATGGTGGGAATGATCTAATGAATAAATTGAGAGTGCACTGAGGTTAAGGGAACATTCTAAATCCAATTTATGAGATGCTGTTAAGATGGTAAGTATTAGAGGCTGTCATGAACAAAGGCTCTTTGTCAGAGGTTTGCTTGCATGCTTGTGTTAAAATTTAAAGGGCTATAAACCTTACATGACACACTTCTTTTATTGATCAGAGTCCAAATTTGGCATAGTGATCCCTCCTTGCAGGAGGATTCTACTTTTTATAAAACTTTATGGAAAAAAGCTTCTACTCCTTTAAGTTTTACTCAAGTAGAATGATTTTATAGACAGTCACTGATGAACTAAACACCACCTTCCCTCATCAATTAGGTTCACAGACATTAAAATTTCCAAACACAATAAGCTGCTATTAAAACTACCCTTATTTAAGTAACAGGGTGCCTCCGTTAGCCATGTAAAGAATGTAGAACAGGCACAGAAGTCAGTGGCTGACACAGTAACCACCAAGCACAGCACCCTAATCATTCTTCAGTGTGCAGTTTAAAAGCTTCTTCCTTTCTGGTCAGGGAACAAACATGAACTGAACTAAAGGTGGTATGTTCCCCAAGGAAATGAGAGAACAGCAGTGTGTATATTAAGAAAAATGTCAATGTACTTGACAACTGTTAGTGGAAAACTTACCAAAGAATTTCCTGCTATTTTTGTCACTGTGCTGGAATTGCAGGCTATGAGCCTCAAATATTTCTCAGGAAGCTTTCTTTTTGGCTTGGAGAGGAAGACATATACAAAGGCACTCACACACTGGGCTGTAATTAATCTGTATGCAGAGGCATATGTGGATGCTCTGCAAATAATAGTTTCAGACAGTTTTCTTTTGGAAGTATTTTTGTACATTTTTGTGTTGCATATTAAGAGTGTAAAAGATAAAATAGGATTAATTCTTACTAATGCCAAAAATATCTAGACACATCAAACAGATTCTATACAGTATGCTGCAAAACAGGTTCAGTGAACTGTAGTGTAGAAGTCTGCAGGGAGGCGCTGTCCACCTTGATTACAGGCATAATCTAACATCCTTACTGAAAAACAACAAAATAAAACTTCCAGTTTCTGCAGGATACTGTACTGACTCTATGCCTCAGAATGGAGCTGGAAATGACCTACTTGAGATAGTTACTTGTACAAAACGTAGCAGAATGAGAAGGATTTGCTGCTATCTGTCAATACTAAACCTTAACTAATACCAAAGCTGCAGTCCTGCAAGAGCAGGATTTTGATCGACAGAGGAGGTTTACTCCTGGCTTTAGGACAGTCAAGGAGAAGAGAAAGGAAACTTTTCTCAAAATGGGAAGATCAAATGTGAACTATATTGCAACTGAATGTGCAGGAGCCGTCTGTATTAAATAAAATGAAAAAAACCCCACATTTAAGATTTTTGTTCCCCCTGGTGAAATGTTTTGGCAAAATATTTGACATGAGCCTTGCCAGTCATTGCCATGATCCGCAGCTGCACAGAACTTGTGTTTCTGGAAAGACCCACAGCATCTGTGGGTATGTGCAGAGGGTTCTAGTGCTGTGTCCTGAACACTGCTTCCTCATGACACCTGCCTTCACACAGCAGCCTTTCTGAAGGTAGGCAAGGTGAGGCTCCTTTCACTTTCTACCATCCCTCTCAGCAC